TTTTTTACTTACTACTTAAGTTTAATACTACTACTACTACTAATGTGGTTTATAAATTTTTAATAAATGCGTTTAAACATTTGTTATTGTATTGTCCTTCCTTCAACCGATCGTATTTAATATAGAAGGGAAATGTTTCGACAAGCCTGATTAGAAATGTAGATCTAAGATGACGAATTTATAACAGGTTGGGAACTATAAAAAATGGATGCAGATCGAACTAGATCTCATCTGTCGAATTAGGAACTGGGTTTGGAACTAAAGAAAAGGGGATGCAGAACTAACTAGGTCTCATCTGTCGAATTTGGAACTGGTTCGGAACTATAGAAAAAGGGATGCAAAACGAACTAGATCTTATCTGTCGAATTTAGAACTGGTTCGGAACTAGAGCCAAAGGGATGCAACGGGGGACAATTGACACTTCCTAGGACATCGCAATGTTAAATTCGCCAGTCGCTAGCATGCAAAAGAGAATTAACGCGTACTAGTCATGGTTCCAAACGCACTAGAACCTAACCAGTTCCGCACTAGTTCGTTTCCCTACAGGATACTGTTATGTTCCCCTTATCTGCGTCTATTATGATAATGTTGTTTGTGACTACAATATAAAAAATTCGTTCAATTTAAAAAAATAAATTGTCCGATATAAATGTATGTAAAGAAGATGTACTTGTTTCGTTTGATGTCGTCTCTCTGTTTACAAATATACCAACAGTCGTAGCCTCAAGAATAATTATAAAAATGAAAAAAATAGAAAATATGACAATTACTACGTTTATTCGCACGTATTATTTGCATATAACAATTGGCAAAATGGTAAGATTTGCCATATAAACGATGAGCTAATTTTTTATTTGCAAATAACTAAATCACGCAAATAAGTATTGATTAGTGGTACTATTTGCAAATAAGCGCAAGACGCCGCCATTCTTAGGTTCATTTTCTTTTTCGATGGTCATCTTATTGCCTTTTTATAATCAAGACGTTGCCATTTTTAACTTTATTTTCTTTTTCGATGGTCATATTACTGCCTTTTTATAATCAGGCAATATTAAAAAAGAATTGTTCACCATCGAATGAACAGTGAGTTAGGTATTTGCAAATTATTTTTATTTGCAAATAGCTTACGTATAAACGTAGTAAATGATTCCTAAGAACAAGTTCCAAAATATTCCAGACTTTTGCCTCAAGGACAACAATTACTTCGTGTGTAACAATAAATTCTTTTCTCAAACCTTTGGAATGCCAATGGGCAACCCGCTTTCTCTCACTATTACTGATATTGTTATTAACGATTTACTTGACAATACCATTTTGGAGCTAAAACATTTAATATCGATATTAAATTTATAACAAAATATGTAGACGATATATTTGCAATAGTTAACCGCAAAGACGTGAATATAATCCTAAAAACCCTCAACAAATACCACCACAAACTCCAATTCACCATTGAATAACTCAGTGAGAGGGGAGACCAGTATGTTTGCATGTATGTATGTATATAAAAAAAATATTTATTGGACCAAAAAGTAGTGGGTAGGCACTGTGGCCAATGGTAATCAACTATTACCACCTCTGCATGGTTGTAAGCCATGCAGAGTCCGCAGAAGACTCCGGAAGCAGTGTCCGGAGGATGCATCAGACTAGGCCGAGCATACTTTGAAGTGCCATCTTATTGAAACTTAAGAAAGTTCAATTACTTGGCAGTTGAGAAGTGCATGTGCAAAAATTTCCTAAATTGCATAAAGGAAATTTTTGCACATGCAGCAGTACATAGCATGTATTTAGGCGCCTGGTGTTAGCAGACACGCCTAAACAACCATGGAAATGGAACATAAAGCCAGCATCCCCTTTCTTGACGTTCGCATCCACAGGGAAAGAAATAATCTCACACTGGACTGGTACTCAAAACCGCCATCTTCGGGTCTTTTGATAAATTTATTATCATCACAATCTAAAAAATACAAAATCAATACAGCTAAAAATTTAATACACAAAGTACTTACATTGAGTGACAAGAAATTTCATGACATAAACATAGAAAAACTCAAAAAGATTCTAAAAAGTAATAGCTACCCAGAAAAATTAACCCGCGACTTAATAAAACAAAAGTTACAGAAATAAACGGCCGCCAGTCGAGTAAAGTAACAACAAACACCACAAATCGATATTTCAGCGTTACTTACGTTCCGCAGTTGTCCGAGAACTTAAATCAACACATTGCCAAACACCCAAACATAACGCTAGCATACAAATCCAATTGCACTTTATCCACAATATTTACAAAAACAAAAACCCCCATAGAAATCAAAGAACAAAGTGCAATGGTAAAGAAGCCGAAAATTGCGACAAAGTGTACATCGGAACAACCAAGCGAGCCCTGGGTACTCGTCTTAGCGAACACGAAGCAGACATAAAATAAAATAATGTNCTTGCTAAAAAATCTTTTGTTACATTACTTTATTTTATTCTTTTGATTGTACATGCTAAATAAAAGCTTGTTTTTAAAAAATATTTTTTTTNGAACAAAGTGCAATGGTAAAGAAGCCGAAAATTGCGACAAAGTGTACATCGGAACAACCAAGCGAGCCCTGGGTACTCGTCTTAGCGAACACGAAGCAGACATAAAATAAAATAATGTAAAAAAAATATTTTTTTAAAAACAAGCTTTTATTTAGCATGTACAATCAAAGGAATAAAATAAAGTAGTGTAACAAAAGATTTTTTAGCAAGCAAATTTTGTCNCAATGAAAGAGAACAGAAGACTTGGCAAGCAAAATGTTTGCTTATGTTTTGTATAAACAACATACATATGTACATATAGCAGCAGTTAATTTTATTTAAAGAAATGGCGTGTCGTCCATTTCNACATAAAATAAAATAATGTAAAAAAAATATTTAACTTCTTCTGGCGGGGCGGCATCTGGAGTCTTTTAATTGTATCTCCTTGATATGATGCCTACAACGAGGTTCATATCTAGACTAGGAATAGCTTTGCTACACTACCGCCGCGGCGCGCCAGCAGCTTTAACAATTTTATAATGGTTTTACGTTCTTTGGCAAATTACGCTCTGTTAGCCATAAATCTTACTATTTTTTGACCGCCTTTGAAACAAGACCCCTGGACCATATGGAGAATTCATTTACATTTTAAATTGCTTTGTCATCGTGATTGGAACTATGCTGAAAATTTCAAGCCTCTAACTTGTCGGGAAGTCAGTTTAAAATCGATTGGATTGCGCGGGATGACCAAGTTAAATAAAAGCTTATAAAAAAAAACAAAGAAACAGCACAGCACTAGCGCAGCATATGAACACCAGTGGCCATACAGCTGATTTGGCGAACGCTAGAATAATTGATATAGAGAAAAGAGCAAAAACAAGAGCTCTGATCCAGTACTCCATGGACTTACAGGATTTTACAACGAAATTGCAGGAAAAATGTTCCCGTACTCCAAAATCCTGTAAATGAGAGCGTCTTTTGGAGAGTTGTGTAGAGAGTGAAGTTGCAAGATTTTACCCGAACTTTTTCTTCTGGTAAAATCATGAAAAGTGTCAAGCAATCACTGGTTGACGTTTTTACAGGAAAACTGTTTTTTTTGTTCCCGTGCTTTTTGTTGTTACTCACTTTTTACTCTCACTTCAGAGAGTAATTTTGCTGTTTGACAGTTTTACAGGATTTTTCACGAAAAGTATTGGATCAGAGCTAAGATTCACATTAGAAAGCTTAAGAATAATGCAGAAAAGGCACGATTGAGAGAATTCAAAGGTTACGCCGATCTCGGACCGCTATTCCTCTCCTAACGAATTTGACAGAATCGTTGTTTGCATGACGTCACACTTGTGCAACTTGTTTACGTTTTCCCTGCAACATTTTTTCTTCTTTTTCCATTCCCTGTAGGGAAACGAACTAGTGCGGAACTGGTTCGGTTCTGGTGCGTTTGGAACCATGACTAGCACGCGTTAATTCTCTTTTGCATGCTAGCGACCGGCGAATTTAACATTGCGATGTCTTAGGAAGTGTCAATTGTCCCCCGTTGCATCCCTTTGGCTCTAGTTCCGAACCAGTTCTAAATTCGACAGATAAGATCTAGTTCGTTTTGCATCCCTTTTTCTATAGTTCCGAACCAGTTCCAAATTCGACAGATGAGATCTAGTTCGTTCTGCATCCCCTTTTCTTTAGTTCCAAACCAGTTCCTAATTCGACAGATGAGATCTAGTTCGATCTGCATCCATTTTTTATAGTTCCCAACCTGTTATAAATTCGTCACCTTAGATCTATATTTCTAATCAGGCTTGTCGAAACATTTCCCTTTTATATTAAATACGATCGGTTGAAGGAAGGACAATACCATTACAAATGTTTAAACGCATTTATTAAAAATTTATAAACCACATTAGTAGTAGTAGTAGTATTAAACTTAAGTAGTAAGTAAAAAACAAAAGTGCGTTCTGCTTAAAAGTAAAAATATTAGTTCACTTTGTCTTACTTGTCTAAATTTAAGCATATTGATTTTTAAGTAAATTCAGTTCTTTTTAAGCTTATATGTATATGAAGTACTTCGAAAGTTTTTGTCGTACTTAACTTAAATAAGATATACAGTCAGTCAATAAAGTTTAGGTACAGTGAAGTTTTTACAATACCGGCAACTATTTTTTAAATATTTTATTTTTCCCTAATTTTTTATAAAAATATGGTTAGTTCTACACCAAAAACCCCAAAAATCAGAGTTCCAAACCTTATGCAAAATTAAAGAAAACTCTGCGAATTTCCACCCAAGTATTGCAATTTACACTCTTTAGAAAAAAGTTAAGTACTCAGTTATTAGCCCATTCAATTTTAGTATAACAAAGTGCAAGTTTGAGGTAGCTAGGACTTACCATTGATATTTAGCAATTTTTTTTTTGTTGTTTGGTAAGTCCTAGCTTCCTCACACTTGCACTTCATTATACTAAAATTGAATGGGCTAAAAAACTTTTTCTAGAGAGCGTAAATAGAAAGTGAATTATTTTAATGAAATTTTGCAGAATTTTCTTAAATTTTGCACAAGGTTTGGAACTCTGATTTTTGGGGATTTTGTTGTAGAATTGACCATATTTTTATAAAAAATTACCGAAAACTAAAATATTTAAAAAATAGTTGCCCGTATTGTAAAAAATTCGTTGTACCTAAACTTTATTGACTGACTGTATTAAGGTAGCTGTGCTGGATTGCATAAAAAAAAAATTAATTTGTCTTTTCTTAAAAAAAAGGTAGCTCTGGTGGCTTGCATTTTTAAATAAATTTAGTGAGAAAGTGATAATTATTTTGACATTTTTTTTTAAATGCCTCTTTTTCTGCAACTGCATTGCCTTTCTCAATTGTCCTTCAGGATCTTGGCCTTTGTTTATGGAATCACTAAGTATAATGATTATTAAGCAACTCAAAAACTATACCAGCGTGATTACCGACGTATCCTTTTGAGAGGTAGCCGCACCCTTATAAAAGGAATAAGACCCAAACTTTTCAGGTAAAAATTTCAGTAGGTTGCGTCTGTATGGCCTTTGCAATTTTATAAATTATTATTATTTTTAAGTAGAAAAATAAAACTCAAAATTAATGATAATCTCTGCGCGAAAAAATAAAAATCATAAAATAATCGTTATTTGTAATTCCAAAAATAAAAATAAAATAATAATTATTCCCGTTTGAGCGAAAAAATAAAACTCAATAATAATGATTAAATGTTGATTTAAATTATTTTTCTCATAATGATTACCTTCCCTGCGTTTAAAATTTGAAATAAAATAGTTTAGTGAAAGTACCACATTTCACTGCTTTTGGACTGGTGCGGGACTAGTTACTATCGGACTGGTTCGTTTTTGGCGAAAAAGAACTAGTACTGAACAAGAAATTTGGTTCACTAGTTCGTGTTTTCCCTACAGGGTTCTTGTTCACGTTTTGGCATTTCCCTCTCGCAATTGCACCAGTGTGACATCACACAAAAGTTATTCTCAAAAATCCTTTCTGATCGGCGCAATCTTGTATTCTATCATTCTTGCAGAAAAGGGACAATGCAACGAACAAGAAAGAGGTTACTGATGACATCGCTGCAGTCTATTTATTATGTTTATAAATATTAGTAATATTCAGTTCAGATAGGGTTGGGCACGCTGCACTAAATTTTCAACTCACTCAGCATTTCATTACCACTATTCGTGTAGTGGTAGTGAAATGGGAAATGCATTACCACTTATAGTGAAAGTTCGATTTCACTATCACTATGTACTAGTGAAATTTGAAATGCACTATCACTAACCAATTTGAAATGAACTACCACTAACCATACAGAGGTAGTGAAATTTGGAATGCACTACCACTAACCATACAGTGGTAGTGAAATTTGAAATGCACTACCACTAAGCATATAGTGGTAGTGAAATTTGAAATGCACTGCCACTGAAGCCCTAGTGGTAGTGAAAATCTCGATCTAGTGCAGCGTGCCCAACCCTGAGTTCAGACAAAACTACCACAAGCGTTGGTAACGATTTTTAGTTTTACGTTTAAAATTTTAAATTTAAATGTACTGTAAGTTTACAACTCTTTTGTGTTAAACTTAACTATTTATTTTTTGTGTATTCATACGTTTATTAGTTTTTTGTTGTTTTGTTAATGTTTTATATTTATTGCTGCGCAGGTAAATAAACGAAAAAATCCCCTGAAAATGCTTAAAATCTTAGCGAAACATCGGGAAAAGGCTAAATAAAGTCTTTTTATTTACACAACGGTTAGATCGGAAAAACCTAACATATATCACAATTTCAACAATACTAAACTGATCGGAAAAACAAAACAAATACAAAAATATTTATTCTTGATTAATTAATTAAACGGTTTACGATTAATCAGCTTATTTGATTATTTGATTAATCGCACATCCCTATTTGGGAATATTTGTCGATAAGATTTCTCTTTGGTCAAACTTTTATGTGAATAAAACTTTCACTCTTCATTTATTTAGTTTTTAATATCTATATTGCATGTGTAATATATCATAAAAAAGTTAATTCATTGTCTATTGTGTAGATCAGCGAATCTGCTTTATATCTATTAAATTTTTATACATAAAGTTCATTTTAGCACTACCAGACTACTTTCCCTACTACCTTTTCACAAAAGGGGATAAAATTGTTAGCCGCTTTCTCTTTACTTCTGAAATGTAACCTTACAAGGCAGTCGATTGACACAAATGTCAATGGCTGCGGTTCTTCATACATTCCGGATAATCCCATTTCACAGCCGGAATAAACAGAATGCGTTTGAAATATACGTCAACATATCATCAGGAACGTTCTAAAGAATAAATAAACAAAAAAGTTTATTCCAAACGTTCAGAATGAATAAAGAAATGCAGCCAATATTTATCCAACCTTAGCGATTCAAAAAATTGTGTTCTCCATAATATGCACGATTTCCACTGAACTTGTGGGGTAGTGTTTTTGGGGTGTTTTTAACGTGTTTTCCCCGGTAAGCCTACTCCACGACTTATTGTAGTCCTGTTTAACTAAATGATATTGCATGAAATAAAAAATAGTACCACTGGAATTGATGAAAGCGGTGTGACTAAAAATAATTAGAGAAAACTATTCATCTAATTGATAATTACAATAGTTTACAAGAAATCCCACCTGTGGCACTACACCATCACTTCTTATGTAAATTTTTCCGTTGAATCTGAATATTGAGTCAAAATATCATAAACTTTAATAGTTTTGAGATATACATAGCTAAATTTCAATTTTTAGAGATGTGAAATAGTGCATACACGTAATTGCATATTTTTTTATATAGCTGACGAATCTTAAATTTCATTCTGCAATAGTTAAGCTTTTTTAATTTAATATCTGTTACGTAAACGATATTTTCCAACTGGATTGGTAGTTTAGGAGCTAATCATTGATTCATCGGCAATTTTGCGTAATTAAAAAACAAAATTTCATAAGTTAATTTCGGTAAAAATATCAATTTGAAAGAACCTGTTAACTTTTGGGTGCTTTCACGTCAAAGCATTATCTTTCATAAATACAATAAGGGCCTGCTCATCTAAATTGAATAATAAATGTAGAAGTTATAGGCACTATGATCTACACTTTCGTCTCATTTATTTTTATGACAAACCGTACCATTCGGCTGAAAAATGCGAAAAAGCAATTTATGTGACTTTTGACCTTGAATTTTTTTGCAGACGTATGATCGATGGGGTCTTTTGACATTTAATTCATAATGGTATTCGCAACACTCTTACTGATTTTCAGCTTTATGCGAAGTATTGTAAGCTTACCCCTATTTATATTGCAAAATCAGAAATTTACAGCTGATTTTAATATAAATATTTTTATTTTAATATCATAAAATTAAAACCGTGGGGCTCACGTGACAGACGTAAATTATTTATAACGAATTTGCAAACATTTCAAATTCAAAACTTATCAAGATAAATTCAATGGATGAAGTAAAAATTATTTTCTACTTCTTTTCTATTTATAGAAACGTGGTATATTAAAAATATGTATTTCTATTTGATTTTTTTTTCATTATATTAAAGTTTGCATAAAAAGACTTGGAATTTGATTTTATCAAACATTTTATGAATTAATTAAATATGTTTTACCCATAAATAAAATGTAAAATTGAGTAATAAATTACTCTTTTTTTAAGTAAAATCGCAATTATCTCTGAAAGTATTATTCCTACATAATTTGGTCGGCCGCTGTGGTGTAGTGGTAAGCAGTGCGCGCTTTCACTCATCAGCACCTGGGTTCAAGACCTGGTCAAAGCACCATCGCAAAAAAATATAGAAAAAGGTTTTTTCTTAACAGCGGTCGTCCCTCGGCAGGCAATGGCAAACCTCCGAGTGTATTTCTGTCATGAAAAACAGCTTCTCATAAAAATACAATCGCCGTTCGGAGTCGGCGTAAAACTGTAGGTCCCTCCGCTTTGTGTGACAACATCAAGGCGCACGCCACAAGTCGGAGGAGAAGCTCGGCCAAACACTAACATATGTGTAAGCGCCAATCTATTATTATATTATTAATTTGGTATGAAAGCGTTTTTTGTAGAGCATTAAATTTGCGATCGAACACATTGAACTTTAATGGACTTGGGCAAGCCTAAGATATTGACCAAATTTTTTTAATCTTTCACATGGATTTTTTGTAGACCATAAACAACCATATGTTTGCCATTAGCAATAGAAATTGTAAAAGAGCGGCTTTTCGGCCCACTCTACTTATCAGGTACTACGTTTATAAGTAAGCTATTTGCAAATAATAATAATTTGCAAACACCTAAATCACTGTTTAAACGTTGCCATTTCTCGCTATCTTTTCTTTTTCGATGTTGATATTATTGCGATTTTATAATCAAGCAATATTTAAAAAGAATTTTTCTCCGTCGAATATACAGTGAGTTAGGTATTTGTAAATTATTTTTAATTGCAAATAGCTGACGTATAAACGTAGTATTCGTTATTTGCAAATAAATAATTAACGCATCGTTTATGCGGCAAAGTTTACCATTTTATAATTTGTTATTTGCAAATAATACGTTATAAACGTAATTTATGATTGAGCGGATTTTTTTCTTTTACATTCTAGATGCAACACATCAAGAAGCGATTTTGGAAGCTATTGAAGTCATCGAAAAACGCACTTGTTTGAAATTCATCGCTGCTAATGAAACCTCAAACCATTATGTAGCTATCTCTTCTGAATCGGGTGGTTGTTATACGGCCGTCGGTTATCAAGCTAAAGTACAGACAATGAACTTGGAAAACTATCCTGTCGGCGAAGGCTGCTTTCGTCCGGGCACTATATTGCACGAATTCATGCATGCGCTCGGTTTTTATCATCAGCAAAGTGATAGCGATCGTGACAGCTATGTCACGGTACACTATGAGAATATAACTCCTGGGAAGGAATTCAATTTTGTTAAGTACAGCAGAACAATTGTGACAGATTTCAATGTGGGTTACGATTATGATAGTTGTCTGCATTATCGGTCTCGTGCTTTTTCGGCAAATGGAAAAGATACTATAATACCGTTGGATTCTACGGCACGCATTGGTCAGAGGGAATATTTAAGTGAAAAAGATGTAGCTAAGATTAATATTATGTACAAGTGTCCTATATTGATTTGATGTTGAGGGCATATTTAGTTCTACGCATGATAAAAACATAACAAGGTAAAACCATTGAGAGGCAGTCTGACATTTACCAACAATATAATTTTAAAATTCAAAACTCAAACTCACACACACATTCTCATTTTCAATCTCAAACAACAACAATTGTGAAGAATTTAGTTTTTTTGTTCCCAATTTTTATGACAAAATATTTTTTTATTTTAACTTTTATTTCAACATAGATTGATTAAAAGAAAAATACTGATAAAAATAAAATATTTCGCACAAACAGGGTTGAAATTTTGAAATTCCTGCCTGTATTTTGTTTGTAAGTCAAATATTGGTGGCATTGTGCTACTATGATTGAACGGCCGAGTAATCATAGTCAACTTATGTACAGCAGTCGAAAAAATTATAGCCGCATCAAATTCTTACAAGTTTTAAAATATTATTTTTGTTGTTATTTAATTTTGGTTAGTTGTTAATAGTTCATTCTTTAACAACATCCGTATAAATACAAGTTTAAAGGCAGTGTCACACGAATTAAATAACAGTAAAAATAATACGTTAAAACTTGGCAAAAACTGGTTCGGCTATAATTTTAGACCACTGTATGTATTTTTATGACATTTCTCTCTTTTGAACACCGACTATAATGTCAAATGATGAAAAATCTTTAACCCTTTTCAAGTTGGAATTTACTATTTTTCATTAAAAATTCAATTACGTGCTGTGAGATAGTTTTGAGTTGTGTGATTTTTTTTTTCGACCACATCCATTTATAGATACATATACAAAAATTAAAAGGAGCAGGAACTACGAGCGTTGCATTGTGTGTGACAAGAGCCAAGACATTCACAGTTCAAGATGGCTCCTCGATGAGTATGGTCGTGTTGACCTGTCGAGTTTTGTTAAAGCAAATATCTGATTAATTTACACATAAAAATTTCATATTTTTTTCATTAAATACAAAACTAAAAGTTTTAAAACAAGAAGATAATACTACATATAATATAATAATTACATAAGTAATATACGTTTATATAAAGAGAGTTGATACAAAAATTAAATGAAAATGTTTAAGCGTACCGTTGATACGGTACTATCGTATGAACAAAGTAACTGAAATAAAAAATTAACATGCATAACTGTTCCACATAACGTAACAGAAAATTTTTTAGTCAACCTAAAATTATAATTTGACGAATAATTATAAAATTATCAAATTGGAGGAATAACCTGGCGATATGAGGACATAGTTCCATGCCATTAAAATACAATAAATTACCAAATTAGAGGAATAACCTGGCAACATGAGGACTTAGTTCCCAGCCATTTAAATTTTAGTTTTAATCTTAATAATACATTCTGACATAACTAACAATTGGAGGAATAACCTGGCTACTTGTGGACCATTAAATCACAGTACACTTTTTAATTTGTTATAACTGAGGAAGAATTGAAAGGAATAAGACGTATGATACATATAAGCAGAAACCTTTGCACGTGGTACTGGCCCTCAGCGGTACGGTTGCCAGACGCACTGATTTTATCAGTACAGTACTGATTTTTCAACCCTTGTACCGATTTTATTCATTTCTTCAATCAGTACGCTAATGTCCTGATTTTTCAAAATTTGTACTGATTTGTACTGAATTTTCAATTCAAACAAAATACTTTAGGAATTTCTTAAGGTTTTTACATAACGTTGGAGCTTCCTTAAACTGTACTGTGAAAAGTAAGAAGAAAATAATTTAATTATAGTTGGCATGTTTCAGAGAATATTTGATATGCCCAAGAAATTAATACAACAAAAATATCAATCGTTTTATGGGCATATCGCCGGGTCGTTACGTACCAGTTGCGATAATATGATGGAGGTTAACTTATTTTAAAAGAAGGCTGACGTTTTTTGTCGAGTGTTGCTAGTTATCTCGAAAATAACTTTCAGTTTAATAACTAAAACAGTTTGAAAAAATATGTAATTTTGTATTTCTTTTTCAATATCATACTCAAACAAAGCAACTGAGATGATCTTAAGTACAAAGTCTGCTTGCTGGCGCAAAGAGAGAAACCCGTTTCTAATAAAACTTTTTTAAAAAGAACTTCAAATTAAAAGTAATTTTAAAATGCAATATATAGAATTATTTGACTATTTAAACACTGAAGGTGGAAATGATCTCATTATTGCTATGCAAAAATGTCATAAATATAAAATAATTTATTGGCTTCTGTGTACACTCATGTTAAACTGAATAACACTTTTATTTTTTTATGAACTATATTTTATTAATATACCAAAATATTGTTAAAAACAACTACTCTGGCATTTTAAAGTATTATCTGATACTTACATTCACAACTTTGCTTTGAATAAAAATGTACTGAAAAGTACTGATTTTTTTGGCATTAAAATGTCTAACGTACTGATTTCGCGCATAAAAAATCTGGCAACCCTACTCAGCGGTATTACCATCGTGTATCAGTGGAGCGACGATTGAATACAGCATTTGGAAAACAACATATTAAGATATACACCTTGAAAGTAGAGGAATAACCTGGCGGTGGTTTTATATAAACCGGCCAACCTACTCAAATATTAAATCATTTTTTTTTATAAGTGAAGGATGTTTTTTTAGAATTAAATATTTAAATAAGAAACTAAACGCGCAAAAACATTGGACTAATAGAAACAAAAAAATTTTAAAACAGTTTCATAAAACATTTATTTCATCAATGTCAAAATGATGTGTTTGTTGTAAACAAGGCGAATTCATATTACAACAAACACATCATTTTGACTTTAAGAAATACCGCGGCGAAAATCTAAATTCACCATTAACACCACCTTGTATAAATTCGCCTTGCACATCGCCAGTAACACCGCTTTGCATAAATTCGCCTTGGCTTTATCGCTTCATTTTCATGCCATTTGGCTAACTTATAGAAATTTTCAAAGGTAAATTTTCAACTAAGATAGTGTCAAATCTTTCATCTCGCTCTTATTACTACACCTGGGGGGAGATTCTGTAACCAGTTAGCGACTATTTTCGGATCGGTATCGGCTTTTGTTGACGTATGATATGATTCGAAATTTGTCGCTAACTGGTTACAGAATCTCCCCGCTTGTTTTAATTTCACCGCACTGAAAATAAAATTTCGCAAAAATGCTACGAAAAGCTTTCGTAGTCTTGGGTTTTGTACAATGTACGAAAATTTCGTTCATTATACGAACACATTTTTCACAACGAATCAAGATTTTACGAACCATTCGTAAATTTAACGAAAGGAGTTTTAGTACAATTTATGAGAACTTTCGTTTATTTTACAAAACACATGCGTAAATTACCGAACAAATCTCTGTATCAATAATTTTGTATATTGTACGAAGGCATTCGTAATCTTTACGTGTGGTTTTAAAATATACGAAATCTACAATTCTGCATTCGTTTTATTTATTAAATACTTTCGTACACAGTACTAATGCAGAAACATGTTCTTTAAATTCGTAAAATATACGAATATTTTCATGCAATATACATAAATATGTACTAAATTGCCGGCAGTTTAATATTTCATCATACTTTTATGTACCGCGTGTCATTGCGAAATTACCTGTTGGCTGCTGTGAGACGTACAATATAAATTTAAACGTTTTATAAATTATTAAATATTAATATGTGATTTGGTTTTTATAATCTTTCGTGGAGCTATCGATGAACCGTAAACATTGCTAAAGGTGAGTTGTGAATTTTATGTTTTGTTTTTTCTTGCTTTTGTTCGGTTTCTTTTTATTGTTGCATATAGAGCGTTAACACATCGTCGGTCCCTACGAAGAGTAGCACATTTCACTATTAGCGTGGAAGACTAGCTCTTTTCATTATTCGCGGTGAAAAGTAGAACATTTCAGATTTTTGTGTGGAAGACTAGCGCATTTCACTATTCGCGTGGAAGACTAGCACATTTCAAATTTTTGCGTGGAAGAGTAGCACATTTCACTATTTGCGTGTAAGAGTAGAACATTTAAGGTTTAAAATAAATCATAAAGGCATAATTTATATTGGAAATTAAGTGCTTATTTTATATTTCTATAACTGTATTATAAAATTCATGAAATTCAGACGGTATATAGCGTTTAGTGATCATTTGCTGGAGATCATCCACTTTTTTTTTAAGGCATTTTTCCCCTTTAAGCTTTATGCATTTCATATTGTTTTATGGTTAACCATTGAAAATTTGTTTTCAGTATGTTCAATTTCAATTAAAATAAAGTTCATTAAAAAAAAACATGTAAGCCCACGCTCAAAATTTTGTAGAAATCTAAAAAAAAATCAACTAATTTTCATTCAAATTTCAAATTTATTTACTCAGAAGTGCTAAAAGTTTTTTGAGTATGAAGCTTTATAGCCGATTCAGTTGTAGTGTGATAATGTGCAAGTTTCGAGAGCCTTAAAATTACCTTTGATTCTTTTTGTCGCATTTGCTCCCATATAACGAATAAACACAATTTATTTTTATATGGAAGAAAACCGCAACAACGGAAATTTTTAGCCACTTGAAACTTCCACATTATTGCAATAAAATTGAAAGGGCTTCAAATCTATATACTCAACAAATTCTGAGAAAATAATTTTGAAATTTGGATGAACATTTTTAGTTTTTTTTTAGTTTTCTACAAAGTTTTAAATTTAGGTTTATATGGATTTTTTCAGAGAAGGAACTTTATTTTAATGAAAATTCTTAAAAATAAATAAATAAACAAAAGTGGAAAGCAATATCACTTTGAAATGAGGTGCTCTTGATATGACTGCATGTACATTAGGGTCGTCCAAAACAGTAAAGTCGGAATTGTAATGCTCTCACCCCCTAGGATTGTTCTATATAGAAAAAAAGCATACCCCTTTTTTTATTTTAAAATCAAAAAACATTTAGAGGTCGCTCAAAGCGCTCAAAGATTTCCATGTATTTTTATAAGTATGGGAAAAAACAACTTTTCGTAGAAATGGTATAAAATTCTTGAAAATTAATATTTTTCGATTGGAAAACTGTGGTTCTCTTCAGGAGACTTACAATAATAATACCCAATTATTTATTTAACCATTTTTTAAT